TGTCCCCTGCATAAGCCCTAGGACCTAGGTACCTGAGTCCCCAGGCTGTGCCCCTGCACCACCAACACCCTGTCATAAAACACCCTATAATATACATGCAGACCCCAACGCTGAAACCAGGAGAACCCCTGCACTTCAGCACAGGCCCATGGACCCCAACCCTGGCACCCACACACATCTCAGAAAGCCAGGCACCCTGTGACCCAGCCGTCAACATAGATATCCCCATGTTCCAGAGGAGAAGCAGGGCAGGCAGTTTGCCTCTGGTAGGTCAGAATGGTCAGGGGCCGAACACTGAGAATGGGCCTGCATGGAGGCAACACTGTGACCTCTGCAGTTTGGCCACTACTAGCAGGTACCTGGGCTGTGTGCATCTGGTGTACTGAAAGGATTTTTTGGCTCGGAGCTACATACTTGGGGTGGTATGGGGTGGTGGGGGAAGGGAACTGAGCATTCAAACTGGAGCAAGCAGGCAGATGCCCCTGAAAACATGTGGGGTGTGGCCAGCTGCCTTGGTGTTGCAGGTACAGGACACTGGAAATTTCCAGGTCAGGGTGTGGGGTGTTGTCAGTCATGGGGCATCTGATAGAAGTCCCTGGAAAGTTCAAGGTCATGGGGGTGGCCTGGGCCACTGGAGCCCCAGTAACTATGGAGCAGGTGCCACATTCAGCTGGAGTGAGAGGGAAAGCTACATGCTGGGACCTTCACCTAGAAACACCCAGAATTCCTTCCATCCATCCACCCAACCCCTCACAGCAGGACCCTCATCCACTCATGAATGCTGAGACCCCACAGGCACTGCTGCAGACCATGGAAGACTCCAGATGTGGAGAGGGAACATGCTTAGCCTGGGGGATACCTATACCTGGGCTGCCGAGGTGCAGGAATGGGGGCTTGAGATGGCCACCTGCTGTTTTAGTAGGCAACCTGTGGAGCTGACAGAATTCCAGTTCCAGAGGCAATTTATGGATAGGGTCCTAGACACTTTGTGGCCATTTATGATGTCCTTGATTGGCGCCAATGCTACTTCCCACAGAGAGCCTGTAGCCTTCCAGACTGGAGGTGGTAGGTGAGGCTGCTGCCCTGCCTCCAGGGAGTCTTCCCAGGGGTGACAGGAACAGGAGTCCTATGTGAGGGACCCCTGGTTGCTGGGCAGAGGGAAACGGCCCCCACCATGCTCTGACTGGGAGATGGAGGAATGGGAGGTGGACTGGGACAGAAGAAGTGGTGTGAATGTGACGGTGACCTGTGCTATGGCAAAGCAGAAAGGCTCCTGGCAGGGCCTACTCTGGCGGTTGGCACTGGGCAAGGGGAGTGGTGCCTAGGGCCCAAAAGCAGGTCTGTCCTAGATACTGGTTTCCTCCCTGAGCCAATCTGCATCCCCCTAGCCCTCATGGTCACCCTGTGTACACAGGCCCCCCAAGCAGTTCCAGGGGAGTCCCAGCACAGTTCAGGAATGCTCGGAAGTGGTAGGGGGAGAGCTCAGGCCACCAACACGCCAGGCCAGGCCATCACTGGGACAGTGATTAGCATCAGAGCCCACCTGCCCCAGCTCATTCATCCACCAGGTGGGATGCCTGGAAGAAGGTTTTCCACTCCCTGCAACCTCTCCCTTGGCCTGGGTCCCACTGCTAGGGAGTGCCTCAGCTGTGGCAAGGATGGGCAGCCCCTGGGCTCAGTTTTTTCATATGAGGTGGGCACCAGGCTGGCCAAGTGTCATGAGGTGAGGAACCTCATACAGAGAGAATGAGTCCTGGGGCAGGGGACCTTCAGTGGTCTGGAAGTTGTGCCAGAGCACCCCGGCATCCATGGTGCCATGGGTGGCCTTGTTCTCATCAGCCACTTGGAAATCATTGGCCCAGGATGCCTGGTGGGCACAGAGTACAGTAGATGGCCCCATGCAGGACGGCCAGCTGTTGGCTTGGGGGCAAGAAGCTGTATCCCATGGCAACCAGCTGCCACAACACATCCAGATGACTGTGCATGATGTCTGGCACCTTCCTTTGATAGTCGTACAGGGTGACAAACTCCTATATCTGTGTGCTTGGGCAGTGGGGCATCATAGTGGGGTTCAATCAGGCTGTGACACGGATGCACATGTAGTTCATGAAGGAGTGTGTGCACTCTGGGGATCTTCTCAAAGCCTCAGGGCAGGGCACAAAAGAGGGTCTGCGGTGAGGTGGCATGGGGTTGGAGGCCTGGTTGCCCATGCCTGGCAGCCAGTCCGGGGTGGCCTGGGCACTTGGTCATCTCCAGCAACCCAGAGAGCCCATAGGGCATGGTGGGAGGCATGCAGGAGCACCCCCCACCTGTGAGCCTCAGTCAGCACAGGCTGCCTGCACACCCTCCACCAATCCCCAAGGACAAATGTGTAGTTTGTTTGCTCCTCATCTAAATTAGGCTGCTTACAGAAAACCATGTATCGATTCCTCCCCTGGCTTTTTGAACATCTATATGTGACCAGTATTGCTAACTGAAATACTTTTCCCCCCCACTGCCTTCCGTAAGGGAAATACGTCCCAGTGAACTCAAAACACTGGTGTGGTATGTTAAAAATGGGTTTTTAACACTTGTATCCAATTAGGAATTTTATCCAATTAGGTTCAGGAACTCTGCAATTTGGTTCATAGGAGGTTGTAAAAGACACAATCCCTGCAGATCATGGATATTTGAGTTCAGAGATCTCAAGCTTCAAGGACTCATGGGAATCTCCTCTCTGTGTGGAAGCCTCTGGAATCTGTCCTCTTAACAGAGTTGTCTGAGAATATGATCACTGCAGCTTCTATTCAGGGGAAGGAGGGCTTTGGTTTCACTGGCAGAGGGAAAAAAGTCATAACTCCTTTAAAACCCCTCTCTCCTTCAGGGTAAAGGGGGTTAAGAGGCATTCTTGCCCAGGAACCGGGTTGAAGTGGTGCCAGGGTGAAGCTTGTGGACAGTGGGGTGTGGGAATAGTGTTTATATCTTGCTCTTTCCTAATCAGTAGATTAGAGATCACAATAAGACCAAAGATTATGAGCTACAATAAGCAGTATGCAACTCATTGCTTTTCCATGCGACTGGAAGGACTTTTTCTTTTACTCCAGTATTATGGCTTACCCCCATGGAGAGGTGATGAGGATAGGTGTAAACTGGAGCACCTCAGGTGTCCAGTGCAGGTATTCAGTTCCACACAGGGATTCACTTCTGTAAGGAACTGGAGTTGGAAATAGACTTAAGTCCATTCGAATACACTGGGGTAGTCCACGCGACTGATCTTGAAATGGAAGCAGTTGTGGCCTACCCTGTTAGGATGGGAGAGGCTATCATTCAGCAGGGCTAAGTAACTTACTTGTTGTGTCATACAGATGTGGCTACATTGCTTCCAGTACAGGTGAAAACACGGTGGGCTTGAGAGAACCACTAGTGGACTTGGGAAGATTACAGAGTATAAGTGGCCTCAGAAAACATGGCACACAGACACATGAAGAAACAATAATTTTCTAGCAGTAATCCTTTAACCTTTATATGAGGGGAAGGAGGTGGGGTCCCAGCAATGGGCTGGGGCCAGGTTACAACGTGCTTTTCTTCCAGCTCGGTTGGGACAATGGAACAGCAGGTTTATATCAGGCAGTAGAAAGTAGAGTGCTTTGGGGTCACAGGTAAACTATCTTCTAGGCTGTTCAGAGAACCTCAGCCCATATTCACCAGCCCTTTGTGAGTATGTATTGAGGCTTCACAACACAGAGGGCCAAGTATTTTAGGCAAATACCTGTTTAAAATGATAAAAGGCTGATTTTTTGAGCATTTTTACAGAGTTGAACAGCGCATGCACTCTTTGTGTTCATAGATATTTTAACTATATTTCCCTATTTGCTCTCTTTAGAAAATGGAGCTAAAAAGAGGAGAAAAAAATAAACATAGAAGAAGAGAATGTTTTTGGATAACTAGGAATCATTAGTATTATTCCTGACAGTATTTTATTGAGGCTAATACGGAAAAAAAATCTGTTTAAAAAATAAGAATTGAATACAGCTGAAACAGTCTGTTGTATTCTTTCAAAATTAATATTTGTAAATGGATATAAGGAATATATTATTTATATACAGCAATATACATTTTAATTGAGGTCCTGAAGATAATTAAGCCATGAATGCTCTTGCATTTTTGTCGATTCGCCCTCTGACCAATGTGCCTATTTTTCAGGCTGGTACCCCAAACTGAAATGTTGAGTCAGGGCCTCCTGATGTGAAAACTCATTAGCTCTAACACAGACTAATCCCACATCTCTTTTTCCTAAAGGCCCCCCAGCTGACATGCTATGAGGTTAACCTGCCTATACCCAAATTTAAGAAGAACGTTCATATCTTCTATACAACCCCTTCAGATAACTATAAAATTACAAGTTAGAATATTTTTAAGGAGAGAGTCTTTACAGTTTATGTTCAGTGAGAAAAAAGTACTATTCATTGGCAGTTTTAAAATTCCTTCAGGTGAGTGCATTTTTCAACCATGCATAAATTTAATTTCTCCATGGATTATTATCTCTAAAATTATCTCGATAGACATATTATCTGCTCATGTATTTTCACCAAGGTGATTTGTGATCCAAAGTGTGGAGCTACAGAAAACATTGTGTGTTGAAAGGAACAATGTAACATTTTTACTTTACCTGTACTTCTTTTTTAAGACAAAACAGACTGTCATATTAATGATATGGCAGACCAGTCATATACTGCCAGGAATGATGAAACCCCAAAGAAGAAAAGGATAGTTTCTGTGAAATTTAAGTTAGCTCCTCAGACTCAATAGCCTTCAAGATGTACTCTGAAAATCCAGGTCAGTAAGAGAGTATCATGCTCTCCTTTTTACTGGATAATGTCTTAAACATGTGAATACAGCATGCTGCAAGACATTTTACAATGCTGTCAGACAAAGACCTTTTACAAGAAAAAGTAGGAGTGCCTCTCTCACACATTCTCTATACACATGAGCAGACACCATTTCACACAGAAGCCACTTACCTTATCACATCTCATCAGCCCTAAATATCTGAGAGACTTGCTGCTTTGTGCAATTTGGGTGGCTCCGTGGTCTGTGATTTCTTTACACCACCCAACATCCACCGTCTCTATTGTCATGCTGTATCGTCCAATGGCTATCAGAGCTACAAAAATATGAAAATGTACATAAGTCAATAGTAGAATGAAAAAGCACACATACATATCCATACAAAATAAAAAATGAAACCAAAAATCGTAGGGAACTAAACTTAGAATAATCCTTACCAAGTGTTCTGCCCCGCATGTGACTTTCACTAATAAATCTCGTATTTTACCTTTGAGAAATAACTTGTATGGTATAAAAGGGATACAGCCTGTTCCATAGCAATAGTTTATATGCATAATTAGACATACTGCTGAATTTAATTTTTACCCAATTGCTTCCCATCAGAAGAAAGTGAATTATGGTGAATTTCCTACAATTAATTAGAAATTTTGCCATGAGTTACAGAATATAGTCAAGTAATTAAAATAAATATAGTAACTTAACTCAGGTTCAGGTTTTGCAGCTTCTCCCTTCTAAAGTATAACTTGATTTACAGAGAGTTAAAAAAATCATCAAATATCCCACTATATTAGCCATCCCATGTTTCCAGAGATCAGTTAGCAGAATGGTATAGATTATCCTGAGGAATTGTTTTTTCTGAAGGATCAATCAATTGATGAAACAGCTATAGAATAAAAGACAATTCTATCTGACTCCCATGAGAAAACATCTCAGGGATTACACTACATTTATGAACCTACTGCTGTGCTGTCAATTGGACAAAAAAATGCTACAAGGAAAATTCAGAGAATAGCAGGATGTTTTCTGTGTCAATAAAACAAGCAATATTAAAAAAATAAACAACCTCACAGATTGCTGATAGTCTTTTACGTGAATTAAGAATTCTGTAACAGTATGATTTAAGATCACATCTGATGTCCATAATCTATCTATCTATCTATCTATCTATCTATCTATCTATCTATCTATCTATCGTACAGAAGTCTATATATCTATCTATAGATATAGATCTATCTATCTATCTATATATGCTGTAATAATAGTCATGCATTTTACTATTGTGCTGTGCCCAGGGTTATTTCTTTAGTAAAGTTTCGTGGCAGGATTTTGTTAAACTATGTCATACATTGATGCTATAATATCTGCATGTTTTCACATATGTAGTTTTAAAATTCTATAATACTGTAATAATTAAAGTGTTTTTGTGAATAGTACTGTGAGACAGTGGTGTTCTACATTCTCTTACTACTACTTCACTTGCAAGTTAAGTTTCTTGATATACTTTATTATGGGTGCATCACTCTCTGCTATACAAATATGTAAAAGATGAGAGCATATTCTGAATTTTTCTTAAAGGCCACCTTTGTGAGGGCATTGTGGGACAGGATTTCAGCTTGCCTCCTCCCAAGACCAGACAGAGAGAGACTGTGGAAACTGAGTCTGAACAGGTTGCAACAGATATATGGTCTCTACTAGACATAATTTGGATCCTTTTCACATATTAGTAATTTCACAGACACAAGAAAATTAGGAACAGAACAAAAGGACCAGGAAAACTTTTATTAAACCGGATCTTGGTAAGAGAAAGGAGCTGCGGAATTTAAGGAGCTGAAAAAATCACTTTGAAAAAGAAATCAAAGGCTCACAGACCACAATGGAAGTCAGAATTGGACCAGACAAAGAACTTGGGTAAGTGAGGATATTTACAATGCCTTGTTATCTTGTTTGTGAATCCAGAGGCCTATGGAGGAACGGTCACTTTTTCACAGTTCAAATAATGCAGTGAAAAACTTCCAGGGAAAAACGTATGGCGAGGCTCTGTTCAACATCAAGACCTAGTCCATAGTTCAGTGATTGTGAAGCTGAACAGATAGGGAGGGATGTGTCTAGCAGCTGACTTGTGCATCCCAGCTCTAATAGTACTGCAGAACTTTCCTCTAGAAAATCAAATCCTTCAGTCAAACTCTTCAGAAAGCAGCTGACTAGAGCAGTGTTTCTCAACCTGTGGATTGTGACCCAAAAGTGGGACACAAGTATAAATGAAAGGGTTGCAAACAAACTTTAAAAATGGATCAGCAAACTTTAAAAATGGATTCTCCTTGAAAGGAGAAACATGTGGGAAACTGCAGCTTTTCCCTTGCAGGCTGTCAAGACTTCCAGCCTGCAAGGGGCTGCTTGGGGCCTCCCGTGCCCACACACATCCCACCTCCTCCCCACACACCCACCCTTTGTCCTACATACTGTGGGGCTGGAGCCTGGGAGTGGGGGCAGCAGGGTGGGAGTGAGAGGCACCGGGTCAGGACTGACCATCAATGTTTACAAATCAGGTTGAAAACCACTGGACTAGAGCACAGGCGACAGATAGAAGAAGAGGGAAAGGAGGGACACCACCTGAATTAGGAATGGTCTTGCTGAAACTTGTGCTCCTGGCAGGTAATAGTGAGGACTTCCAGGATAAATTGGCAATAGACTAACCTATGGATGCTCATCTGGACTTGCAGTTCAACATCAGAGAAAGAAGCCCAAATACACTCTAGTTTTCTGTTCACCAAAGGAAAAAACAGAAATGTAATCCCTTGACTGGCATTACTTATGCCACATGTCTTATGTCAGGTACATGAAGACAGTTTTGTGGAAACGTGGGAGAGTCTCCATCCCACGCTGCATTCCCAACACTGCTCTAGGCAACGCCTCCTACTATTCCAAAAATGCACCGATGACTATTGGCAGTGATGGAAAGATGAGACAAGCTACAGCTTTGTTATATTTCTCTGCTGAGCTTCTTTTACATGTCATCCTTATGAAAAGCCAGATAGGTTGGAATATAGAATATAACCTTTTCTGCCGCATTTTAAAGCAACCTAGAGAATGTTATCGCAGAAATACAATTCTCTGCGCAATTCTACAGCTTGGTGTACAGTACAAGAGAAGGGATATATGTAAGATTAAAGGGGGTATTATCCACTTGGAATATAATCTTAAAAAAAAATAGTCAAAACTATTTTCAGGTACTGTACCCACTTTTGATTCTCCCTGCTGATTTTGTAAGGTAATAGTCTCGCTTCTGTTATACTTTTACAAAAAAAATTCCCTCTCAGCTGAAGAAACTTTTTCTTCTGGTTAGGCAGCCAGAGTGGCATAGAAGGGCCCTACAAAGCCTTGGATCTGGCTTGGAAAGAATTCCCTTACAGCAAACAGATACAAGGCTACATTTGGAGATCTCTAAGACTTAGAATGAGGGTGTGTCAGGGGCTCAATTGCAGCATGCAATGCTGAGACTCATGGGGTAGCTGGTGAAAGTTGATGCAACTTGGACTTGCTCCAAAGTCTAAATTGTACCTGAGCCTTCTTCAGCCCCTGCAGCAACCTGGACTCAGGAAGGCACAAAGATGGCTTAAAGCCACCTTACAGGCATAGCACATAACCTCATCCAAAGTACTGTCAAAAACAAAGTAAAGAAACTGGAAAAGAGTACAGAAACCTATCCTCTCTCTCTCTCTTTCAGTGACAGGAATCCAAGGTGGGGTTTACAATAATAATAAACAGTTTCAGAAAGAAATATGATCTTTATATTCAGTGTTTCAGTTTTCAGACTTTTCAACATAATAATTAAAATATTTTTGCTTCTTTTTGCCCAGTGAAAAGGTCTATGCCTCTTAGTAACTTCTGAGACCCTGATGCTGCTTGACTCTTACTGTGTATCTATGGATGATCTGTTCCTCCTGCACTTAATTTTTAGGTATATAACTTTTTACAAATTAATAGACTAGACTTAAACAGAATAATCAACAGCACCCAGACACAGGAAGAACAAGGACATCTTCATAAAGTTAGCTCAACAGGCATTATTATTAGACTGCACTGTCATTACTTAACTCTCCAGTCACCCTGGAGTCATTTATTTTTTCTTAATCAGAACATGCATTTTATTCCTGTCTGTCTGCACAGTAACTAGAATATTATTTTGGGCACTACGATTACATCAATATTAATAGGAAAAGTACAAATGGATCTTTCAAAATTCTCCATGATTCAAAGCAGCGTGCTGTTCAGGATCCTGTTGTTTTAAATAAGAGCCACCCTTCCCCACCTAATATTTTCACACTTTTTAAAAGTGAACAAATTTTGTCAGTGTAAAATTTCAGTTATTTCTACAGAATGCAATGTTTTCAGGCCTGGCAGACTGGCTACCTTGCTAGTCTTTGATGAGTAAGAAAACAATCATCTGGCACGTGGGGCAGCTCAGAGTGCACAATTCCTGTGGCCAGCAGGAGAACAAGCAAAAACGAGCATGTTTTTCAGTCCCCACTTTGGGTTTCAGTCCCCACCAAGGTTGTTCCCATTTTTTGCCAACAACTATCTTTTGGAATATGCATTAACCATGCTAGGAGCAAGCAAGAGGAAGTGTGCCATTGTGGTTTTAGTAGTTCGGCACTGCCCTGAGAAGACCTGCGTTTCAATCTCTGCTCTCAGAACCATCTCATTTCAAAGTTGTTTAAAATTCTTGCCTAATTTTTAAAAGCTCTCCTGAGCTAATACTGAATAGTGGACATAGCATGGACTGAGAATAAGATGACTTAAGTTCTTAGCCTGACTGCCTCTGACTTGCTGCATGACTTTTGGGCAAATCTGTTCATCTCTTTGAGCAGTGATAAACATGGTCCATGCTGTTTATTTAATTGTAAAGTCTCAAGGCATGAACTATTTTGTCCTAGAGGTATAGTGCACACCATAACGGTGTGCTGATCTGAGCTGGATTTGTAGGTACAGCCACAACAAATGCAAGGAACATTAACATTCTCTAATGAATCTAAGAGACGACAAGTTACTATACTCACTGAAGAAAATTATTATTTTTATGACCACTTAATTTTAAGCTAAATAAAAAATCTAAAAATTTAAATGTCAGGAATTAAAAGCCTTTTTCTCCTTAAGTTGTCAGTTAGTCACCAGTTTTAACAAGCACAATGTTTATACTGCTTAATACCTTGTTCCTGTCAGTCTGCTTTCAAAAACCAAACTCTTGGTAAGCAGGGCAGTATTTTAACAGACTAGATAATTTAACAGACTCGCCTTTTCAAAAATAAGGCTGACCTG